AAAGAAAGAAAGAAAGAAAAAGGCGTTTTTAACGTCAAACGTATTTCGTCTCTGTTAAGCGCTGTTTATATTGGAGACGGCGAATTGTTGCTAAAAGCGGTGTTTGTTTTACTTGGGTTTGGAGCGGGTTTTTTGGTTTGTTTACACCCCCACGCTCCCCCCCCCCTCCGCTCTCCCCTTCTCCTCCCCCATCGTTTCTCTCTCGCAGAGCAGGAAGGGATTTCTTTCGGATTCCCTCGATCGCCTCCGGCCCCGCACACCGCGCTCCGACGCGGCCGGGATGCGGCTGTTCACATCTCCCCCTCCGGTTCGGATTAAAACCTCAATTTTTTTTTTTTTCGGAAAGGAAAACAATTAATAAGAATTAAAAAAAAACGGCCGAGTTGGGGATGGAGAATTGGGAGCAGGAGGACAAAGGAGCCGGGTGAAAAAAAGAAACAAACGGGAAAAAAGCAGCAGCAAACAGAGCGCGCCGCTCCGCGTGCCTCGGGCGGGGGTGGGGGGAGGGAGGGGGGCACGAAATAACTCAGGAACGTTTTCTCTCCGGGATCGCCTCACACAGCGGCTGTTCGGGTCACACCTCGGGGTTTGGGGGGGGTGTGGGTGCACGGAGCTGTGCAGGTGGGTGGCAGCAGGGCTGGGAATTCAGTACGAAGATACCTCAGAACTTTCGACGCTTCGAAGCCGCAGAAATAACCCCGTTCACGGCACAAAAATAATGGCAACGATAGGAAAAGAGCCTTCCATTCGGTCAGTTTCGACGTTGCAAAGAAATTGGAGGTGCTGAAAAAAATAACCCCCACTTTCGGCCCCCTGATAGGAGATGGGAGAAGGGAAGCCAAAGCGTTCTCCAAAATGGCTTTTTTTTTTGGAGCTCAGAACTCAGAGAGGTGCATCGGGAGCACAGAGCAGGGAGGAGGGGAAGCTCTGGGTGCAACCAACCCCCTCTGGTTGGGAGCAGAGATTTTATGTGCGTGGCCAGGATGGCATCATGGACAGGAAGGCACCTTCCCAGAGGTTCCACCATCACTTGAGTTCCAAACGGGTGCAGAAGAAGCAAAACCGATTTATTTTATTTTATTTTTTTTTTGGTCGTCGTCGTTCCGTTTTCACGTTTTCATCCGGGGAGGAGAAAAACGCAGAGTTCTTGTGAAAAAAAAAAAGAAAGAAAACTTTAAGAAAAGGGCGTTGCTGCTTCCAAAAAACGCAGCGAGACTCAGGAAAATCTCAGCTTGGATCCGATGTGGAATTGCAGTTCGGGAGGGTTTTTGTCGGGCCGGGGTTTTTCAGGGACCTTTGCTCTCAATGTGCGTCGCTGGGTGGAAAATCCCCATCATTCTGACCCCATCAATGGGCTGGAAAATGGCACGTTTTGGTGCAGGGAATGCCTGTGGGGGGTGGGTACAGCCGTGGCGAGGGGGTGGGGGGGGTTGGAAAAAAGGGGGGGTGGGTGAAGAAATGGAGCTTTGCCAGCCACGCATCGTTTGTTCTCTTTAGATTGACTGTACCTTTATTTATTTGAAGCTGTTGTGTCTGACGATGAAAGTGTTAATTCCTGCGTGCAATATGGAATCTAGGCTGAGAAATAAATACCTTTTTATTATTATTACTATTATTCTTCTTATTATTTACAGGCTGCTTTCTGTTCTGCCTGTCGGGTGTGTGCTGTGCGTGTGGGGATGCTGGGATGCTGCCCTCCTGGAGGTGGGGGTTTTGCCCCCATCCCAAACGCACGCGTCGTCCCGCTCTGTTTCTCCACGTGCAGCTGCACATCTGGCTGCACACACTCCGTATTCACGGCCTTTGTGGGTGTGGGGTTGGGTTGTTGTGTGTGCAAGCACTCAGCCAGCAGCGCACACGCATCTATTTGACTTCACCTTGAAGCTCCGGAACCGATTTTAACCCCCGACGAAATGTTTTTTTTTTTTCTTCCGTGTTTAATAGGAAATCAATAGCTGCTTCCATTCTGCTTTGTAAGCCCTGGTTTGGTTCGGTGGGCCTCAGGATTCGGTGCCTCGCATGGAAGGAGAACTTCGGGTGCGTTTGTGGTTCTTGTTTTAGAGCTGGAGGAGATTCGGAGCCAAACGAACCCAACACGAACCCGGAGCTGAGGGGCAGCTCCCATCTGTGCGGCGCTTTGGGAAGGGGATGAGGAAAGCGATTTGGCTGAGATCTGCCCCACATTGAGGCAAACGGGAATAGCAAAAGGAACCCCCGCTCAGAGCCTCATTAGTGCTAATTAAGAGCTGCGCGTTATTGCGGTGCCACGGAAGCATCCTCCGATGGGCGGCCAGGTAAACCTGGCGTTGCAGGAGGAGGCGGGTTTGTGTTGGAAATCTGTTGGAAATCGATTTGCAGCGTTTTATGCCTTTTTTTTTTTTTTTTTCTTTCTCCTTTTTTCCTGTTCCTGATCTGGAGTGGAGGAAAGGAAGCCGAGCTGCAATGCTCTGCACTTCCCAACATTTCACATTTCTAAAGGAAATTCAGCCTAAATCTAACAGCCCCCCCCCCAGCAGAGAGCAGGAAGACTCAGGGCAGGACGGGCTGCTATGGAAGGGGGGGGTGGGGAGAAAAAGAGCTCTGATTGCAGCCAAATGACCCCGCTATTATCATGATTATCTTTTAAAGAAGGTAATTTAATAATTACGTTAATTATCTGCAGGGATCGGCGTGGGAGAGAGTTCTGAGCCCCCATTTTCGGGGCTCTTTGGTGCCCTAAAGCAGGAAAGGGCACAGAGCAAGGTGCGGG